AATTCATTCACATGTCTGTGAATTGGGCTTTGTAAGTAGACATATAGCATATGCACAAAACCATAACATTAGCACTAGTAAATCTCAAGTACTGAGTTTTTTTTAGCAATAACGGGGAAGTGGAATTCATAATAATACTGTATAAAATTAGTAAATATTCATACATGTCATATAAATACTGCATAAAATTAAACTCAACTACTAAGTTTTTTAAAGTTTTTTTGACTAATAACGGGGAGGTGGAATTACAAAGTCATCATCCCCTAGATCTGAATAATCTGATAACTCTGAATCAACTTATAAGTCTGGATTATTAGTGATGGCTTGAATAACTTCAGTTGGATCCTTATGCATTTTCTTTGCAATGGAAATGCTCTCATTCCTGCAACATCTGACATATAAATTTTTTAATAGCTTTGATTAAATATGAGAAAAAATAAAGATGCTACATAATCAAAGTGCACTTAGAAATCTATTTAAAAAAGAAATTAACATTATAATAGTTTTGTTAAAATAAAAACATTAGATGAGTAAATTGCACTTACAAATAGGGATGCGAATACTCTGCCTCATGACAACAATGCCACTATTTATAACATTTTCAAACACTAAGGCTTTTTCTTGATGATGTGACCATACCTCTTTATCTGCCATGGTCTAAGGCTGTTTTACAATATTTGGCCTTTTGTTCAATCACATGGCTAGTCACAGAATAGGATTCTCACTGAAAAAATCAGCTCTTGTAGATACACAAAACCAACCCACTTTCTCATCTTATCATCACATGGCTAAAGTTAAAAATAATGGTGCTAGGTGCATAAACACGAGAACTATTATGAAGACACCCCTATCATGCCAAAGAGAGAGATGTGTAAGTCCCTTTTGTCAAATCATGATATGGGTAAAATTCATTCACATGTCTGTGAATTGGGCTCTATAAATAGACATATGGCATATGCACAAAACCATAACATTAACACTAGTAAATCTCAGTTGTTGATGTATGGACCGAAAGTATATAGAGCGAAAGTACTCGTTAAGAGATGCGTGGATTGAAAGTAGTTATTTTACATTCTCAATCATTCTCAAAACTATTCCATTTTTAATTCTTTACATCGATGGTTCATTTTTTTATGTAACACTAACCTAGCATATAATTGTCGTCCCCTCCATCGAGATTTGGTGTGTATTTATTTTTCAATGTGTTCAAGTGTGTATTTATTTTTCCTTCAATAAACGTTTTGATTGTGTTTTTACAAATGTACCCTGTATTTATTTTGCTATTATTTGGTTTCTATTCATTATAGCATTATAAGCTATTCCATTTTTAACTCCTCATATTTGAAACTATTCCATTTTTAACTCCTCACGACACTTCGTGAGGCCATGAGACCCCTCCAACGTATAGGAATTTGCTGCTTGCCATTGTCTTCAACTAGCAAATGTTCTCCCTTCATATATAATAAAATACTAGGAAATCTCCTCACTATATATAATAAGATACTAGGAAATTTTCGAACTCTAGTGAATTGTCTTCCATAAATTCATGCCAACCCTTGTAAAAATATTTTGTGTTGTTAACCTGTCTCACTTCAACCCGCCACGATTTGCTTACATAACTCCTAATTATAGACTTGGAAGGTAAAACTCTATCAAATTGTTTAAGGAACGCTGGTGGAAGTTGCAGTCGTTGAGAGCTCCATTCCGGGAGAAAAACTTTGAAGAATTAAGGACACTAATCAGGTAAGGAGAACTTTTTGCAAAGTACTATTCCATAATGGAACTGACTTAAAAACAGCTTTTCTACCTATCAGGTAGAGAATAACTGTTTTTAGGATATCTTGTAGAATAAAAAAATAAAATAAAATAAAATAAATTAGCAAAGAAACAATGTTTCAAGTGATGTTGGAGTATATTTTGTACTATTCATTCCCTCAAGTTAGCTAGATTGGAATAAAGTTTGTACTCTTTATGGCACTAATAGATTTATTTATGGATGTAATGTGCAACTTAATTAGCGGTGTGGGGTGTAATACCATTTTCAATTTCAAAAATAAGTCCCTTCTGCGAAGGTATCACTTTTTTTCCAAAGGTACCACGTTTTTGAACTAAAGGTACCACTTTTTGGCGTCCAGGTACCATGTTTTCTAAACACTCGCGTAGCTAGTATGGAGAATATTTTGTATTATTTATGGCCCTAATGGAACTATTTATGGATGTCATGTGCAACTTAATTATAGGTGTGGTGTGTAATTTTTTTTTTTCAATTGCAAAAATAAGTCCCTTTTTTGGAGTCCAGGTATTGCGGGATTTTCTAAACACTCGCTTAGCTAAGTTGGAGAATATTTTGTGTTATTCATGGTGCTAATGGAGCTATTTATGGATGTAATGTGCAACTTAATTAGCGGTGTGGGGTGTAATACCATTTTCAAGTACAAAAATAAGTCCCTTTTGCAAAGGTACCACTTTTTTTCCCAAAGGTACCACGTTTTTGAACTGAAGGTACTACTTTTTGGCGTCAAGGTACCACATTTTCTCCAAACACTTATTCATGGCGCTAATGGAGCTATTTATTGATGTAATGTGCAACTTAATTAGCGATGTGGGGTGTAATACCATTTTCAATTGCAAAAATAAGTCTCTTTTGCAAAGGTACCACTTTTTTCCCAAAGGTACCACGTTTTTGAACTGAAGGTACTACTTTTGGGCGTCAAGGTACCACGTTTTCTCTAAACACTTATTTATGGCGCTAATGGAGCTATTTATTGATGTAATGTGCAACTTAATTAGCGATGTAGGGTGTAATACCATTTTCAATTGCAAAAATAAGTCTCTTTTGCAAAGGTACCACTTTTTTCCCAAAGGTACCACGTTTTTGAACTGAAGGTACTACTTTTAGGCGTCAAGGTACCACGTTTTCTCTAAACACTTATTCATGGCGCTAATGGAGCTATTTATTGATGTAATGTGCAACTTAATTAGCGATGTTGGGTGTAATACCATTTTCAATTGCAAAAATAAGTCTCTTTTGCAAAGGTACAACTTTTTTCCCAAAGGTACCACATTTTTGAACTGAATGTACTACTTTTTGGCGTCAAGGTATCACGTTTTCTCTAAACACTTATTTATGGTGCTAATGGAGTTATTTATGGATGTAATGTGCAACTTAATTAGTGGTGTGGGGTGTAATACTATTTCAATTGCAAAAATAAGTCCCTTTTGCGAAAGTACCACTTTTATCCCAAAGGTACCATGTTTCTGAACTGAAGGTACCACTTTTTGGAGTCAAGGTACCACGTTTTCTCTAAACACTTATTCATGGTGCTAATGGAGCTGTTTATGGATGTAATGTGCAACTTAATTAGCGGTGTGGGGTGTAATACCATTTTCAATTGCAAAAATTAGTCCCTTTTGCAAAGGTATCACTTTTTTCCCAAATGTACCATGTTTTCGAACTGAAGGTACCACTTTTTGGTGTCAAGGTACCACGTTTTCTCTAAACACTTATTCATGGCGCTAATGAAGCTGTTTGTAGATGTAATGCGCAACTTAATTAGCGGTGTAGGGTGTAATACCATTTTCAATTGCAAAAATAAGTCTCTTTTGCGAAGGTACCACTTTTGTTCCCAAAGGTACCACGTTTTTGAGCTGAAGGTACCACTTTTTGGTGTCAAGGTACCACGTTTTCTCTAAACACTTATTTATGGTGCTAATGGAGCTGTTTATGTTTAATGTGCAACTTAATTAGAGGTGTGGGGTGTAATACCATTTTCAATTGCAAAAATAAGTCCCTTTTGCGAAGGTACCACTTTTTTCCCAAAGGTACCATATTTTCGACCTGAAGGTACCACTTTTTGGCATCAAGGTTCCACATTTTCTCTAAACACTTATTCATGGTACTAATGGAGCTGTTTATGGATGTAATATTCAACTTAATTAGTGGTGTGGGGTGTAATACCATTTTCAATTGCAAAAATAAGCCCCTTTTGTAAATGTACCACTTTTTTCCCGAAGTTACCACGTTTTTGAACTAAATGTACCAATTTTTGGCGTCAAGGTACCACGTTTTCTAAACACTTATTCATGGTACTAATGCAGCTATTTATGGATGTAATGTGCAACTTAATTATTGGTGTGACGTGTAATACCATTTTCAATTGCAAAAATAAGTCCCTTTTGCAAAGGTACCATTTTTTTCCCAAAGGTACCACGTTTTTGAACTGAATGTACCACTTTTTGGCATCAAGGTACCACGTTTTCTCTAAACACTTATTCATGGTGCTAATGCAGCTGTTTATGGATGTAATGTGCAATTTGATTAGCGGTGTGGGGTGTAATACCATTTTCAATTGCAAAAATAAGTCCCTTTTGCGAAGGTACCACTTTTTTCCCAAGGTACCACGTTTTTGAACTGAAGGTACCACATTTTGGCATCAAGGTACCACGTTTTCTCTAAACACTTATTCATGGTGCTAATGCAGCTGTTTATGGATGTAATTTGCAACTTAATTAGCGGTGTGGGGTGTAATACCATTCTCAATTACAAAAATAAGTTCTTAGCGTCAAGGTACCACTTTTATCCCAAAGGTACCACATTTTTGAACTAAAGATACTACTGTTTGGCATCAAGGTACCACGTTTTCTAAACCCTCGCTTAGCTAGCTTGGAGAATATTTTGTGTTATTCATGCTGCTAATGGAACTGTTTATGGATGCAATATGTAACTTAATCACATTACACATATATGTTTATTGAGATAGTGTGTTATTTCTTTGGCAACTATTGAGATTAAATTATCCATTTATCGACACCATGGAACCAAGAAAACAACAGGCCAATTTTCCATTCATTAAACTGCTTTAATTTTAAACTCGATCAATTTTGAAATTAGTACATTAATATAATAGTGAAAGAAAATTCAGTGAGACCCTAATATAATAAGCCATACAATACTAATTCATAAAAACCCAAAAGAGCAACTTTATTTGATTCCATCTAAGGTAGATACCAGTATAATAAGCCATACAATAGTTGCAAAAACATACCAACCTAATCCACAATCAAAAGTTGCAAAGCTACTCTTTAAAACTTAAAAAATATCTAACACCAACAGATTACAAAATACATGCAAAAAAAATGACACTGTTTAACATTACAAATGTCCCATATCCCACATCATTTCAAGTACTTTTTAGAAATTCAACAATCCTCCTATCCCACTTCCTCTAGCTTCCAATTGGGCAAATACAGGTATGTATTTCCTTGTTCTGTGGAAAACCAATTTATTGCTCTTATCCTTTGTATGGTCCTAGTGAGAGTCCTCTTGTTTGTGTATTTGATGGACATGCATTTTTTCTGTCTCTATGTAATTGGAACAAAATAACCATTTTGTCTCTGTGACTGTCACATGCAATAAAAATTAAAGTATTAAGGCATTGTATAATAATAATAAGGAACAAAAGCAATATAAAAACAGACAATTCGAAACTTTGAATAATAATAATAATTTTAAAAAGAATCATCAAAATTAAAAAAGAATTTATCATTTGCCCAACACCTTGCAATTGACCTCATTATCCAACTTAGCAGTACTGCTTTTAAAACATGTTTGAACAATTACATAATAATTTTGAGTTTACTTAAGAGGTTGAATATTTCCATTGGAGCTCTTGACAAATATATCACATGGAAAAGTGCAAATGAACATTGAGCTATAATACTAACAACTAAGTTATACTAAGAAATTGCTGTACAGCAAAAAATTATATTAGAAGTCGAGGAAATTACATCTTATACGCCTTGATGGATTAAGATGGAGATAGTGAGGTTCCTTGAGGTAAATGGTACCTTGTTGGCTGATGGAGGTGATGTTAGAATCATCAAAATAAAAATAAAAAATAAAAAAATTACTAACCATAAGTAAGCTGATGGAAGCTTACTTGAAATCAACGTGCTTAACCACATGTATAAAGTGCTTTGTTCTTTACAAAATTCTTCATTTTGTTATTGTCATCTAAAAGCAAATTTGAAGCAATAATTGCACGTAACTTGTCAACGTCCACCTGTACATTAAACCAGGTAATTTCTTTTCATGAGTATAGGATATGGAAATAGACTTCATGCGTGAATACATATAAGTGTAAATAAATAGGAATCTAGTGTTGCAGAAACTATATATTTACTCACCTTATTGAGAAGACTTTGGATTTCACTGACAGAAAGGCTGACAGCAGCAAAAACAATGGTCCCCAATTTCCTCTTCTCAGCACTTGTCACTAAATAACCACCCTTTGTAATAGTTCTTAGTTATTCCAACACTTGTTTAACAGCAAACTCAAACAGAACCTGTGTAACGACCCGGATTTCTCAACCCGGTGCGTTAGTGATGAACCGGAAGTTGACCCGATAACGCACCCGAAATGCGGAAGCGAAAGAAGCCAAATGACCTCAAGAGATGTACGTCATCTCTAAGGCCCCAAAATGACTCTCCATGAAGCCACGGAACTCAAATGAGCCAAGCAAATGAAGCAAGAATGCCTAACCCGAAAAGAGATGAACTAAGGGCAAAATGGTCATTTCTCACTGAAAAGGGTGCCACCGTGCACACCATTGGAAGGACAATGAAAAATGAACAAAATTAGACTCAAGAATCGTCAGATTCTGAGTCCGGGCAAAAAAGATATGAAATTCCAACACTCGATGCGAAAGTTATGAAGCAATGACTTAACATTTTCTAATATTTTCATAATAAACTTTGAAAACAAAAGTGCATAGAAAACGAGATACATGTCATTGGCCTCTGGTCTCATCTCATACATGTTAAATACATTAAAAAGAGTACACTTACGCACACTTTACATATACGAATCAACGAATACAAGTTTAAACAAATAGGGCTACAAAGAGGCATTTTATGCTAACACTTGCATAAAATAGAAACTTAAAAACTGTAAGCCATCCAAGGAGCAATGGAATCTTCAAATCCTGAGTCTTGTACCTGAAATATGCCCTAGTATCGTAGGGGTGAGTAACATAAAGCTACTTATAGGAGATGAGCATGCATCGACCTAACATTTTACAATTTTATCATTTTATGGTGAAACATGTTAAAGGGGCTCATGCCACCTAACGTCTATGTCAAGATGAGAGCTAGGGAGCATCCTAAGCTACCTAGATCATTTCTATCATAATCACATTGTTCATGCAATTTAAACAATATGGAAACATGTTATACAAGGCAACAAGATATAGACTTTCAAAGTCTTCAACTTGAAATCCAAAATACGAAAACAACAAGTGTGGGTCATGCCACCTAACGTTTATGTTCAAAATGAATCTATAAGGTCATTCCTAAACTACATTTGAACATCAAAACACAAATTATGATATCGATGCAATTTAACCAACAATGGAACTTCCAATACAACGCATGAAGCATGCTTCACAAAGCTACATCTTAAGCTCAAAATAGGAAATCAAATAAGGAACAACAAGTTACGATATCATCTAGTTATCAACTTGAAATAAAATACGAAATCAAACAAAGTGGATACTCGAATGTCACACCGGATCAGACTGACAACATAGTTACTTTAGGGTTACTAGCCCATGGGTAACCTCCATATGTGCGCACTAGACTATATAGAGGGACAATCCCCCGTACTAGAACCAAGTCCTAGCCGTAGCCAAATAACGACATCCCCAAGTTTCCAAAATCAACAAATTGTGCAACAACGTATATATATCAATATGTATATACAAGATATCAACTATTTACCAAGCACAATCCAAATTTTGGAAACTTATACAATACATGCTCAAAATTCACAACTACTATAACATGTAAGATGTCAAATACAAAGTGTGCAATTCCTTACACATAGCAACAATATATTCAATAAGGAAAAACATATTCTCATGAATATAAAAGTAACAACTATGTTATCTAATGCTTAAAAGTAATCAAGTGAACATACATCAAATCCAAATCCATGATTTAAATATAGAAACAACTTCCAAAATGCAATTAAATCCATGGAGTAATAAGGTAGAATTTAATAAAATATAAATAGTTAAATTCTCCATATTCCAAGTTAATCCAAATAACCTCAATTTAATATATATTGAAAGATATGTCATGGTCATCATATCTATAACATCAAATGACAAGTTAAGTGATTAAAACACTTAAAACAAAATTAATCAAGCTAATTAATTAATTTCCTCTAGATTTTTAAACAATTCCAAATGCCTTCAATTTAATCTATGTTAGAGAACATGCCAAGGCCTATTTAAATACCACATTACAACTTGATTTAATGCTTGATATAACCATGTGAATTAAACTTTCACTAAAGATAAATATTAAATAAAAGTTATAATTCTTAATCAAATGATCCAAAATTAATATATGTTAACCAACATATCTAAGTATAATTTCCTAGCATATTACAATTCAAATCAAAGTTATACATCATCATAAATTTTAAATCTTATACAAAGAAATAAAAATTACTAACTTTCTAGATTTGATACGAGGCATACATATATGTTATATAATCATGGCAAACACACAATACAACACACAAATAATCCTAAAACATTTCCTATCTCAATTGGAATGAAAATCTCAATTACCACCAAAATGAAATTGCCCCAAATTTTTGGTCTGCAAAACAAATTTTTTAGCTTGCTACCTTTAACTTGTAAAATTCATAAAAAATTCAATTCTAACCTAAATTGAATGAAACCAAAGCCCAATGAAAGCTTAAACACTTTAATTTGATAATATCAATTTAGTTTAACAAAATATTTTTCCAATTGAAACAGTTTTGACCCACAACTTTGAAACAAATTCTGCCCAGAAAACACATTTTCAGCCTGTAGCTTCCAACTTTGAAAATTCATGAAAAATTCATTTGACATCTAAATCGGGCAAACCTAATTTATTTTGGAAGTAAACATATGAGAGTGTAAAACTAAAAATTTAAGCCATGATCCAAAGTCAAAAGTTTAATGAAATAAATCATCTAAAAATATATTTTCGAGCTGCAATAAAAACATGGATAACAGATAGTTTTGGATTTTAAAAAAAAATTAGAAATGCTTTAAAATTGTGAAAAAATTCTGAGTAGTGTAAAACCTATAGGGGAAGTTCCAGTAAAAATTCAAGACAATTAAAGTACCATAGCTCCATATAAAAATTCATTTCCGGACCGAAAAGGAAAAGCTTCAAATTTCCAGCAGCTAGCTTGCAACTTCAAAAATTCATAACTAATTCATTTTAAATCCAAACTAGATGAAACCAATACTAAATGAAAACTAATTTAGTATATTTTCATATTCTATATTTAATTTGACAAGATTAATTTCAAGTTAAAACAGTTTAAGGGCAAAATACAAGTCCTTCTCTTCCATGCATGTAAAACACTCAATAATGACATAAAAATACTTCAAAATAATAGATCAATATCTTACTAGAGAATTGAATCTCTAGTTACCAAAGTAAAACTTGGAGTTAGGCTAGATCCTTCAAGGGTTTTGAAGAGGAGGATGAGGGGAACAAAAAATATTCCAAACTTTATGGTCTAAAGTAAGTGGAAGGGCCTCAAAGATTAAGGTCAATGCCTAAGGCTTCAAGCTCCATCCATGGAGGCTAGGGTTTTCTTGTAAGGAAGAGAATGAAATAATGTGGTTAAGTGTGAGTGGAGGAAATAGAAATCCTTCACTCACTATGTGCTTTTACACCATGGTTAACACATACATCTATGGTCAATTGCACAAAAACCCTCCTTTAAAACCATAATCCCAAAGTGGCCCAAAGATATTTGCAAAACTAAATTGTGAACCTACACTTGTCACCAATCCATGGCTCCTTCCTAGGCTTAATCCCATACCTACACTTGTCAACCATCCAAGCCAACAAGTGCACCAATCCTAGGCCAACAAGTGGGTGAATCCTCACCCTCCAAATGTCATCATCCAATGCATTAAAGTGTTTTTACACAAATGTCAACAAGTGGACCAATGAGAGTGTGACACTTGTCACACTTTTCAAAAATTGCAAAAAGGTCCTTTTTGAAAATATCTTCCAAATTTAATTACAAAATGGTCCCCAAGATGAAAAATAATTACTTTATTTAATTACACTAAAACCCAACAAGTTAAGAATAATTACACTAAAGTATGCATTAATGCCCCTTTATAAAAGAAATAACCAATCAACATGCTTTTCTAGAAAAGTAAAAATACCACTATCATGGAAATCAAATATCATGAATGCATGCAAAACCGGAATCAAATTCAAGCACAAAAAGTGAGGTTGTGCAAGGAAAAAGGATAAACGAGAAAAAAACAAAATGTGAATAGTGTTCGGAAAAATAAAATATGGAAATGACATAATCCCCAAAGGAAGTTGTCAATCCAAGGAAAAGAGTCTTGGAAATCATTCCAGAGCATTCGAGACGACATCAAGTGATGAAAAACCGAACCCAAAAAGGAAAAGACAACGGAAAAAAAATATCTGTTAAAATCTGACAAAAAGAAAAGGAAGAAAAATGACCGGGTCATTACAACCTGAAAAGATAAATATTGTGCAGAAGCTATGCTGATCACCACAGGCCAGATACAAGAACTCCAATTACCAAAAGGACATTTCCTCCATTTCTCGCTTTGGCAGAAAGGAGGCTAGGAACTGAAGTACTTAAATAATAGTTTGTAGGTGTGTAAACATGTTACACTATGTTAAATGGACCTGGACACCTGTGTCGGGTATGGATATGTATCCACGCATTAGACGTGTCAAATATCCAAACAGTGGACACAGCTAAATATTTATGTTGTATACTAATTTTTTTTTTTTAAAGATGTTTTCATGCAACATTGTGTCCATTCACTCATTTTAAAGGTAATAATATAATAAAATTGAATTAGTAGATATGCTTTTCAAGTGTATGTTCAACAAAAAGTGTCGGACACATATCCCATATCCATGTCTGAGTATCGTGTGTCCGACATGGGTGCTTCACTAGTATTGAAGAGTCCATTTAACATAGGTGTTATAAGTGCCACATAAAAATGATATTAACTTAAGTGGATTTTGACGAAGGTCAGGTGAGTGCACATAAAATCAAACTACTGATCTAATACGTAAGTTAAATTGAAGGCGATATGGAGCTATTAAACACAAACGCTATATATTAACCTGTATAGAATTAAGATATTAAGCATTGCCAAATAGAACCTCTCGTAATTGATTCTCCCATTTAGCCCAGTCCTTGATATATCATCCTTTGGTGGAATCCAACCTAGATTCAGAATTGGAATGAGAATAGTAAGAACTTCTCACCACTAATAATTGGAAAAGTAAAATTGATGACCATAAAAGTAATCCTAAGTCAAAAGGTCAAAGGCTATAAATAACCATTATCGAACATAATCACAGCACCAAGTCACTATTTCAATTCCGCTACAATCTTGGATGCTAACCATTAGAACATCAATCAACTAAAGATGGAAACATCCTTCCACAAGAAATGAAGGAAGAACAAAAAAAGTAGCACTAATTGTAACATCATTATAAATATGTTTGTGTTTGTAATATAATTTTAGGTAATTAGTATGCAGAGCTGATTTACTTGTTTCTTACATTGCTATAGACAATCTATAAGATACATCAACTAATTAAATTTTCCAAAATATTATTATAGAAAAAAATCCAAAGTTCCAAAAACACAGCATCTGAGAACAGGTTGTACATTTTTTTTTCCCACAACAAATACATAAAGTTTAGGTGTGACCCATAATCCTATCACTAAAGATCATGTATCCAATTTTGAGAGAGTAACCAGTTTTCATAATACGAAAAGGTAAGAGGCAGAGGCAGAACTCCTTTAACAACAATGAGGAGAAGCCCAAGTCTCAAGCATAATGCCAATCATGAATTTTTCAGTTCATATAAGCATGATAGCAAAAAATAAGGGGAGAATGCAAATATATGAGAAGAAGTATCTAACAATTTGCTTCAACATTCTAGAAACAATCTTAGTTTTGCAATATTGGGAAAATTTAGAGACTACTAGACCATAAAACCACAAAGGAAACCCGACTACAGCTATTAATCAAAGATTGGGCTGCATTTATGAGTAGCCCTAGTCTTATCCATAGCAGCTTCCACAATATTGGGCTTATAAACCCATTGGGCAGGATATTGGTTTGATTGTTAGACATATTGAACACCAAATCAGTCAACATTGACATATGAATCATGTTTTGGAAGCCAAACATCTTGTAAGAGCGAAGAGACTATTGACTCAAAGGTTTACTTATCTCTAGATAATTGCTAAAACTATCTGTCTTATCTGACAGTCGCTGCATTCTAGATAATTGCTAAAACTATCTGTCTTATTTGACAGTCGCTGCATTGTTAGAAAGTTTCTGATTTCACACACACACGCACACGCACACACACACCTACCGACACGCACGCGCGCACACACATTATTTTTTCATTAGTGGACAAATTAAAGTTTTTGATCCACACACATACACACACACGCACACAGTATTTTTCCATTAGTGGACAAATTAAAGTTTTTGATCTTTATGTTGTCTTTGAAGTTTTTGGCATCCTTTTTTTTGTCCACTTCTTGGTGACACACACACACACACACACACACACACACACACACATTATTTTTCCATTAGTGGGCAAATTAAAGTTTTTAATCTTTATGTTGTCATTGAAGTTTTTGGCATCCTTTTTTTTGTCTACCTCTTGCTGTCTTTGAAGTTGTAAGTTATGTGGTCAGAACATAACCTTCTTGTTGAGTTTGCTGAAATCCATGTGCCACCTCAGCTTTTGGGTCAAACTCATTTTAGGCAAACTATGGAACTTTGACTTAGCCTCTTAGTGAATATGGTGCCCTAACCCCATTTATATGTAATAATCCCTATCATATTTAACTTTGGAGATTCCAAAGACTTTTGTTTTCCCTTCCTGAAAAGCCTGTCAATTCAGTTTTTGAAACATATGTTTTTTTTTTTAGTTTAGGATTTTGATTGCTTTTAATGAATTTGCATCAAGTATTCCTGTACTTCATCTTTCCCTTTTTATCTTTTTTGGTACATCAGGAAATGGATATATTGTTTCTTGTTTTTGTTTGTTGCTTGTATAATGGAAATTTACTCTTTTGGTTTGGATCTTAAGAGATGTTTGGACTCGTAAACAAAAAAATTCTGCTAAAGTGTATCTGGTCTTAAACTAAGGAGATGACATTTGTGTAAATGACTTGAGTAGTTATATGGAACTCACTTTTCCAGTTGGGAAAATTGACAAGAATATTATTCAGAATTATAAAAATAATTTTCCTATACTTTTTTGACATCCATAACAAAGAATTTCTCTTGGTTGATTTATTTAAGTGTTTATTAGGATTTATTTTTTACAATTGAAGTAGTATATCATACTTGTATTGCTCATAGATGTTCATTGGGGATGGAGCAAAACTTGTTCGTGATGCTTTTCAGCTTGCGAAAGAGAAATCTCCTTGCATTATTTTTATAGATGAAATTGATGCTATAGGCACAAAGTGGTTTGACAGGTATGCTATATCTCTATTTTATGTATAATTTTCTAATCTGCCTTGGCAATTTTCTGAATCTTGGTGTAATGGATTTTGGATTGAATACTTAAGAAGTTATGTCATAATGTGACTAATCGATTGTAAATTGTTTCTTTCAATGCAGTGAAGTCAATAGGAATAGAGAGGTCCAATGGATAATGTTAGAGTTACTCAATCAGTTTGATGGATTTAGTAGTGATGAACGGATAAAGGTCTTTATCTTTACCTTTAATTAAACACACTTTTAGTTTTTTGGTCACACGTTCAGGCAATTGTGAGCATTTAGAAGGTTTTGAATTCAATAATTAGCAGAGTTTTATTTGGTCCCCATATTTTTTTGCATGGAAATTGTATCTTCAGAACTTCTTACTTTGTTGAAGGGTCAGATATAATTCTGGGCTATGGTTTCTTCATTTTAAGTTTCTTCAGATTATAGTTTTCCTCACCGGTTGAGTCATAGCAGACTCATCTGTGCCCGTGTCCATGAACCATGCTTTAGATGCCACCAACAAATAGCTACTTCACTAATAAAATTTCAGTTAACTTAAATTATTATCTGAGTTAGTAATTCAGTATTTCATAATCTCATGAACTACAGGTAACAAATACAATTGATATTTTGGATCCTGCACTCATGCATTCTAGTCGATTGATAAACTTATTATTAGACAAGGTAGGTTAGGTGACATGACTAGGACATTAGGGACCGACAGTAACACTGCTTGAGTGAGGCAATGTGTATATTTTGGTCATTTATATTTATTTGTGTACGTAATTTGGACATTTTCGTTAGATTTTTTCTCAAATATCACCGATTCCATTATAATCTAAAAATATTTGTGTAGTTCAGAATGAACTACAGATGACCTAGGAGAATATTCTGGAATTGTAGTAGCTTTAGTCAATGTAGGAGGTGTGGAGGTTTGGATTGGTGAGACATGATATTCAATGTGGTAAAAGAACCGTATTTTGAGGCATAAATGAATTAATCATTTGTTGGCTCTCTATGTTTTTTAACATTCCTTCTATAAGAATTTATTACTTTTCTGTTATGCTACTTGGTACCCATATGTGTTATAATTTTGCAACCACAAAAACTAAAATCTAATTCTTTTCATCATTGTTCATATTTCATCTCCCTTTTCCAATAAAAATTCTTTTTAATGAAATGAATTTATTCTTTGTTTTTTGTATCTCAGAAGAAGAGGTCCTTTCAGCTCCTTTAAGATTGGTGTACAGCAAACTAATCTTGCAGTTAGCCCCTTGATTATTTAAGTTAAATAATCTTAATTTAATTCTATTATTGTTGCCTAAGCAAGTCATCGCTAACTGTGTTTCTGTTCTTTATTGCAGATTCACAAGGAAACTTTTGGTTGCAGTCGTAGAGAAGTGGGACAGTCATGTGCTTGTCATTGACAAAGTTTGCCCCCCTAATTGGAAGGTTTGATGTGCAACTTAACTATATAAAATTCCCAGTTTCCTTACTGTACTCTCTTTATTTTAGACTATAGACTCCGTTTCTCTTAAGTGAATGACTTAAGTATAATTCTTTAGAACCTAAGCTACATTCTGCATTGATTCATAATTTTTTACCCCTAGACCTTTTATATCTTTCTTGGAGAACTTCCATAGTGGATATGTTAATACTATTATTTGTAGAAGTAGGAAACTTCTTCCAACTGAGAATTACTATGTCAAACACTTGTTGACTCTATACTGGATTTCACCCATACTATATAATGCAAAATAAGAAGTGAGTGACACTTTTTTTTATATTATTATTTTATACTTTCTTCACTACTTAAGTCTCTACAACAAGGATATGATATTTAAATATAACAAGATTCACCTTTTATATGTATGGTGATGTGTGTTTAGCACCTTCTGTTCATGTCAGAAGGCAACACTTCTGTGTTCACATATTACAGGTCATGTACTATTAAAGGTGGGGTTTTGTCAAGGGAATTATAAATTGACATTGAAATTTCATATATGCACACACACACACACATACATATATATATCACCATGAACTTGTGTTTGGCCTCCATCTAAACTGGTTGCCATTCAAGTTTCAAGTCTATGCATGCTTTATTAATGATGAAATATGCATCTTTTATTCTTGTTTCCTAATATGGGAATTTTATTTTAATTGATAAAATGATGAGAATGACAATACTATATAATCATGGAAAGGAATGGGGACATTTGGACTCCATGGGAACAAATAATTCCATTACGTTTTAGATAGCACTAAATTGATTCTCAATTGTCCTTCTTTTGCCAATAAATTCTTAATGATGCATAAATAGTACCATCAACAGCAAAATGAGTTTACATAAGCTTATTGTAATAATAAAAGCATAACAGTTACTTTAAATTAAACAAAAAATTAAAATCGTAAGAGCTAGTTATGAAGTGAGATTGAGAACAATATGTTTGTGTGTGTGTGTGGGAGAGAGAGAGAGACGAACCTAAAAGGAGGCCATGAAGGAAATAAGTTGAGAGTTAGAAGAATAGTAGAAATCTAAACTTGAGAAGTGGGGATACCGCTACGGCTGGGTTACATAGACGGGGAGAGAGAGGGCATTTTATTTGGGCGTTGCTGGCCTGACTTTCTCCGGGCCAAGATCAACCCCTCTTTTCTCGTTGAAGCCTTCGGAGAGAAAGAAAGACCAAAGAGTGAAGCAGTGTCAATTAGTCCAGCTCGATAGCTGGGATAGCCAAAGAAAAGCACTGGCATACCTGTACCCCCTCTCGATTCGACTGATGCGGCCAAGGATCGGGCAGTCTTGGTTGTTCCGCTGTTATAGTTCCTAGCTAGGGGATGGGTGGAATCACCAATAGTAAAGAAGCAACTAGGGTTTTTGAGAAGCTTTCTTCTCTTTTAGATTTTACAGAGGCGGAGAGAGAGAGAAGGCTGCACTGAACGAATGCTAGGGCTACAATTAGGTTAATATATTAAAATATGGAGAAAGGGCATTTTAGCCAACACGGAAAAAAGGGGAAGAGTATTTTAGGCACCACAAGTTCTAAACAGTAAAAATCCATGTGCCACCTCAGCTTTTGGGTCAAACTCATTTTAGGGAAACTATGGGACTTTGACTCAGCCTCTAAGTAACTATAGTGCCCTAACTCCATTTATATGTAATAATCCCTAACAACAAACAGTTAGGCTTATAAATATATGGAGAATACTTGCATCCAACCCAGGTTGGATGAAGTTTGTCCAACCTGGGTATGTGCCTTAATATGGGCATGACAAGTGTCCTTTAACCCTATTCAACTTAAGTTGGGTAATACCCAACTAAAATGGATTTGACCCGGCCATAGTATGATTGTTTTTTTTTTTTTTTTTTTTTTTTTTTTTCGCTTTGCTTCCAGAAAAATCGCTCCCTTTGCTCTTTCTCCAGCAACCCTAGTTTTCTTGTTTTTGCCCTCTTTTTCTCAAGACGAAGACGATGCACAACTTTCTCCTTTTTTCCTATTTCTCTCAAGAGATGATGATGCCCTAATATTTCTATTGCTGTATTCGACATCAGATTGAAGCTAATTTGTATTCGACATCAGATCAAAGCCTTTGGTCTCACTCTTATTCGTTTCAATTTTTGTATTGAACATCAGATCGAAGCCTCTGGTCTCACTCCCATTCCGTTCAATTTCTATATTCGACATCAGATTGACGCCCTAGGTTTTTCTCTCTCTATATATCTCGCTCGTTTTATATACAAACATAGTTTGATATATACATATATATATATACACACACACAATTTGTAGTTCTTGGTTTATATATACTATTTCACTATTTGTAATTTGGAGGAGTATGTATGATTCTGCTTACCATACAAATAAGAGTGGGACATTCCTGCTTGCAAATTGTTTATAAATTGCCTGAAATGGATTTTGTTGTTTGAATTGCCTGTAGTCAGTGGAGATATATTCAAAAGGAAATAAAATCCCCTTGCATATTTTTTATGCTCAAATGAAATTACCAACTAAAATTTTTCTAAAACTGGTCGAGACATTTTATAAATTACCTGAAATGGATTTTTTTGTTTGAATTGCTTGCTGTCTTTTTATTCTTCTTTTTTCTCTTTAAATTCATGAATTTTTAGCTTACGCAAGTAAATTGAACAATTTTTAAGGAAGAGGCTACTGTAAGGTTTTTTTTTTTTTTTTGGATAAGTTACTGTAAGTTTTATTTTGGTTTGCATATTTAATTTTTCTGGCTTTAATAGTCACAAGTTATTTGTATGTAGACTAATGGAGGAGATGGAGTATGTAAACCTAAATAGCGACCAATCAAATAATTGTGAAATTGACGATGATTGTTCTTCTCCTACTAATGATTTTTCCTCAAAAATAGAAAATCAAGATGAAAGAGATGAACCCGAACTTGAGATGGAATTTAGTTCAGATGAGGAACCATATAAGTTCTACCTCAACGATGGTGGCAAACTTGGCTTTGATGTAAGGAGAAATTTTTGGAAAAAAAAATGCGAAGGGGCTCATCGTAAGTGTTACATTTTGTTGTTCAAAAGAAGGTAAAAGGAGAGAGAACAAGAGCAAAACTTCTTTGTATAATCAACCTATTACAAGAGTTGGTTGTATGGCTCATATGAAATGTACTCTTCAAAACAAAGGGAAATTCAAAGTTGTGTCTTTCAATAAAAGCCACAATCATGCCTTAATTAGAACTCCAATGAAACATATGTTGAGAATTAATCGAAGTATTTCTAAGGCTCAAAAAGCATATGCTGAAGATGCAGAGAAGTCAGAACTACTAATAAAAGCAACTATGGAGTTAATGAGCAGAGAAGTTAGGGGGGAGAGAGCATCTTGGTTTTCTAAATAATGATTATTGAAATTACATACATAGAAAGTGAAAGATGGCAATGGAAAAAGGAGATGCCGGAGCTATATTTGAATATTTTCAGAATATACAGCCAAAGGATTCATCTTATTTTTCTTCAGTACAATTGGATGAGGATGATATGATCACTAATATTTTTTGGGCTGATTCACGTTCAATTAGTGACTATGGCCTATTCGGAGATGTTATGTGCTTTGATAGTACTTATCGAACAAATGAATATGGTAGACCTTTTGCACCCTTTACTGGGGTGAATCATCATAAGCAAACAATTGTTTTTGGTGCAGCTTTACTTTATGATGAAACCATTGAATCATTTAGGTGATTGTTTGAGATTTTCCTTGCTGCAATGTCTGGAAAGCAACCTAAGACAATTCTGACAGATCAATCTGCTGCAATGGCAAAAGCAATATCAATTGTTTTTCTTGAGTCTCAGCATCGACTATGTGTTTGGCATATTTATCAAAATACAGCCAAAAATTTGAGTCATATCTTTCATAGATCGAACCATTTTGCTCATGACCTTAGCAATTGTGTATACGATTATGAAAATGAAGATGAATGGTTATCGGCATGGAATGGTATATTGGAAAAATATAGTCTTAAAGAGAATAAATGGTTGAAGGACTTATTTGAAGTAAGAGAAAAATGGGCAATGGTTTATCGACGACACACTTTCACTGCGGACATGAAATCTACCCAACGTAGTGAATGCATGAATAATGTGTTAAAGAAATACTTGAAGCCGAAACATGATTTTTTGCGTTTCTTTGAGCATTATGAGAGGGTTTTGAATGATCAGCGGTATGAAGAATTTCATACAGATTTCAATATGATGCGAAGTATCCCTGTGCTTCTAGCTAATGTGGAGATGTTACGTCATGGTGTAGAAATCTATACCCCAGAAATTTTTGAATTGTTCTAGAAAGAGTACATGAGGTTGGGAGATTACAATGTATATAAAGTGGCTAAGGATGTGACAAAAGTTGAATATAAAGTATCTTGTGCTGGAAAATCTAGAGAGCATGTGGTTAATTTTGAAGCCTCAACAATGATAGTCACTTATACTTGTATGAAGTTTACTTTTATTGGGATTTTATGTGTTCATGCTTTGAAAGTGTTGGATAAGAAGAATATAAAAAGGATTCCGCCCCAATATATTATGAAACGATGGACAAGGGATGCAAAGGCAAGGACTTTCACCAATTATCATGGTATTGAAGCCAATGAAGATCCTAAGGCATCTATGGGAAAGCGTTATAGTAATTTGTGTCGAAATTTTCGTGAGCTTTCATCTTTAGCCTCGGAACATGAGAAGTTATATGCATATGCAAATGAACGTGCTCTTGTGTTGCTTAATGACTTAGAGGAGATGAAGAAAGAACTTTGCATAGATAATGAGGAAGTTGAAAGGATGGCTCCACCAAAGAATTATAAGCCAATAGAAGCTTGTGGGGTTAAAAGAAAAGCCACAGTTGGGCGTCCGTGTGGTCGAATAATTTGTGCACTCGAAAAATGAAGAAAAAAATCATATGCGAAAGATTCAAAAAATGCTACCAAGGTATGCTTTAAAACTTATAAATAAATAAAATGCTACCATAATTTTTTTTTTTTTTTTTTTTTTTTTTTTTTTTTTTTTTTTTTTTTTTGTACTTACTTTTTATTTTCAATAAATATTATAGGAGCCTATTTCTAGTACTTGTAACTCACAAGAGCAACAAGTTAGACATGGAATTCAAGCTTTTGATCTTTTGACTCAAGTAATTCATTCTTTGTCGTGTTATGTTTCTTTACATGGCCTCTGCTGTGGGGAAGTCAGATTATGGTTATTTCTTTACCCAACACATTTTTACTTATTTTATAGGAATCTCAAATTGACAATGGAATAGAAATGCCTTCTACAGTTCATTCAATGATGACCTGTGGAACAGAATTGCCTTCTACAGTTTGTTCAATGATGAATTATGAATTGGAAATGCCTTCTACGTCTCATTCAATGATGAACACAAATAGGCTATCCAATATGTTTTACACTCGATTACTTCAGGTAATTATTTTATAATAAGAAAATGGTTGATAATGTTAACGATTAATGACATAGATTTAATTATTTCTATGTTCTTATCATTTTTGTTTTTCAATATTTGTAGGAGTCTCATCATGGTAGCCTCCCACAAAGTGCACAAGAAGGCAATGCCTTTGAGTATTTTCCTCGCTGTTAGAGGAGTATTCAGAAAGCTATTTGAAAGCTTGCATATGTTACTTTTTGTTCTTCCAGTTAATTATCGAAGTTTTTGTATCATGTTGCAACACAATAAACTTAGTCCAATGACCCATCTTTTGTGCGAATTATTTGGGTAATTTACACTCGATTATTTCAGGTAATTATTTTATAATAAGAAAATGGTTGATAATGTTAAAGATTAATGTCATAGATTTAATTATTTCTAACTTCTTATCATTTTTGTTTTTCAATATTTGTAGGAGTCTCATCATGGTAGTGCATAAGAAGGCAACGAGTTTGAATGTTTTCCTCATTGTCAGAGAAGTATTCGGAAAGTTATTTGAAAGCTTGCACATGGTACTTTTTGTTCTTCCAGTTAATTATCGAAGTTTTGCATCATGTGACAACACAGTAGACTTGGTCCAGTGACTCATCTTTTGTGCGAATTATTTGGGTAATTTAAACTGGATTACTTCAGGTAATTATTTTATAATAAAAAAATGGTTGATAATGTTAAATATTAATGACATAGATTTAATTATTTCTATCTTCTTATCATTTTTGTTTTTCAATATTTGTAGGAGTCTCATCATGGTAACCTCCCACAAAGTGCACAGGAAGGAACGAGTTTGAATATTTTCCTCACTGTTAGAGGAGTATTCAGAAAGCTATTTGAAAGCTTACACGTGGTACTTTTTGTTCTTCCAGTTAATTATCAAAGTTTTGCATTATGTGGCAACATAGTAGACTTGGTCCAGTGACTCATCTTTTGTGCGAATTATTTAGGTAATTTACATTGGATTACTTCAGGTA